TCACTCACTCATTGTTTGTTCCTATAAGACTCACATCACCGTCACCACTCATTGTTTGTTCCTATAAGACTCACATCACCGTCACTCTGTTTTTCCTAAGCCATACCACTCATTGTTTGTTCCTATAAGACTCACATCACCGTCCTACTCATCATTTGTTCCTGTAAGACTCACATCACCGTCACTCACTTGTTTGTTCCTATAAGATCTCACATCACCGTCACTCACTCGTTGTTTGTTCCTATAAGACTTTACATCACCGTCACTCATTGTTTGTTCCTATAAGACTCACATCACCGTCACTCACTCATTGTTTGTTCCTTAAGTCTCCACATCGCCGTCACCACTCGTTGTTTGTTCCTATAAGTCTCACATCACCGTCACTCACTCGTTGTTTGTTCCTATAAGTCTCACATCACCACTCACTCATTGTTTGTTCCTATAAGACTCATCACCGTCACTCCTCATTGTTTGTTCCTAAGTCTCACATCACCGTCACTCACTCGCTGTTTGTTCCTATAAGACTCACATCACCGTCACTCACTCACTGTTTGTTCCTATAAGTCTCACATCACCGTCACTCACTCATTTTTGTTCCTATAAGACTCACTTCACCGTCACTCACTCATTGTTTGTTCCTAAGTCTCACATCACCGTCACTCACTCATTGTTTGTTCCTAAGTCTCCACATCACCGTCACTCCTCATTGTTTGTTCTATAAGTCTCACTTCACCGTCACTCACTCATTGTTTGTTCCTAAGTCTCACATCACCGTCACTCACTCATTGTTTGTTCCTATAAGTCTCACATCACCGTCACTCACTCGCTGTTTGTTCCTATAGACTTACATCACCGTCACTCACTCATTGTTTGTTCCTATAGACTCACTTCACCGTCACTCACTCATTGTTTGTTCCTAAGTCTCACATCACCGTCACTCACTCATTGTTTTGTTCCTATAAGACTCACATCAAATGCTCTCACTCCATTGTTTGTTCCTATAAGTCTCACTTCACCGTCACTCACTCGTTGTTTGTTCCTATATGTCTCACATCACCGTCACTCCTGTTGTTTGTTCCTATAAGACTCACATCACCGTCACTCTAAAGTCTCACATGACCGTCACTCACTCCCGGGCAGTGGCGGCTCGTGAAAAAAAAATTGGAGGGACTGCAAGCCTCACACCGAGTCCCCACCAAACAATAAGCGCAAAGCAGAATAAAGTGTTGCCTCGTCACAACCACAGAGCCATTCACATTTCTGATAAACACTGATGTTAAACTGGCGTGTATATTCTTTGTTCCTGCTTGTACTGTTCTGAAATTCCATGCTTATTGTTTGGTGGGGACTCGGTGTGAGGCTTGCAGTCCCTCCATTGTTTTTTTCACGAGCCGCCACTGTCACGCGTTGTTTGTAGGATTATCAAGGAGGGAATATTTACGCCACATGACGCAGCTAATCACGAATTATTTACGCCATCTGACACCATCCAAGAGATTTTGCCTTTTGACTCAGCCAAATATAAGAGATTTAGTTCCACTTATCGCCACACATTATTTACACGTAGCAATGACGGGTTGACCTTGAAGCAGCCTGAACACACACACACACACACACAGACTGAGGGAGTGTGTGTGTGCAGGAAGTCCAGCCAAACCAAAACAGAGGAGCGGATACATGCATGACCAACTGTCTCTCCACCTCATTCTCCCTCCAGGCTGTTGTCAAGCATTAAACACATTAACTGACATATTCATTAACAAAACTCTACCTATTCTTAGTATCCTTTAACAATTGTCATAACGTGTGGATATTACTTGTTTGTTGATAGTTAATTGGTCATTAATCTCATAAACTGTATTGGTTGTTATGGTTATAGAGACTAGGTAGAGCTGATGTATTTATGTTAAGTGAAGTTGTAGTGTTTAGGAAGTATATCTCAGTTTATGTATTATTTCTATATTCTCTTTTTCTTTTTTTTTTGCATCACTTTGGTGGTTTTGTTGGCCTTAGGGAGAGAGGTAGAGCCGGTGATACTGTGGGAACATCTGCCTCAGTCAGCACAGGTGTTCCTATTATCACTATGTTCATCTCTAAGCTGACACCACTTATAGTGTGTTTATACCTGTAGCTTGAGAAATCTCCTGACACAATTTCTCTTATTTTCATGAACAACTTCAAGGTGGATTTTCTATAATAAACTGTTTTCATGAGATCATTATAGAATTTCTATGTAGTTTACTAATTTCTGTTTATTTTCTTTGTGTAGTTGTTCATTCACTCGGGAGACATTAGATTGTTAGAGTGAGGCCGTTGACACAGGTGCATGGAGCCTCAGGAGCTGGAGAACACGTTATTCATACTTATTGCTCGAGGTCAATATTTAATATTTACCCGGATATCCATTATTCATTGTTAACTTTATACCGTGACAACAACAGCCATTGTCCTTCATGACAACAATGGCTATTGACAAAAGTTCCTCTTACACGAAGCAGTAACACTGCTGGCATATGACACCCACAGTTTATGTACTGAACGTTCCTGACTCACACAGTGAGTTTATGACTCACACAGTATTCCTGACTCACACAATAAGAGTTTATGACTCACACAGTGTTCCTGACTCACACAATAAGAGTTTATGACTCACACAGTGTTCCTGACTCACACAATAAGAGTTTATGACTCACACAGTGTTCCTGACTCAGATGTTATACTCAGTCTTTGTTACTCAGTTATAGGCGGACGCAGACAAGTAGTCAGAGTCAAGGGAGTTTGAGCCGCCTTGAGCGATCATGTTCAGTGTCCTCTCAAACTGCTCCTCGAGGCTGTCCTGTGACAAAGAGGAGCGGCAGCTCGCCCTCCTCGTCGAGGATGTCTCCAAATCCTCCGCGGCCAGAGGGTTCATACTCGAGGCGACGGAGGTGGAGGTGTTGGACGTTGAGGAAGACACGGTGTTCTGGTCGGGACATTTCAGGGTACTTGTTGAACTCTTTTTATCATTTTGGCTCCGTTCCTCCTCAGTCAGTCTTCGCTGAGCCCTTGGGTACTTCGTCTCCTCCAAGACGCAGCTAGACCGAAGTAAATTGCTAATAGGTCTCTGGATGTCGTCGCACAACGAGCTATTTTCTTTAACTTCTCTGTCACTTGACTCAGGTTTTCTGTGGTGTGGTATAAAGAAGGACGCCTCGGTGTCGCTGCATGACTGAGTATTGTCATCGTCATCGTCGGAGAAGTTGTAACCTTCCATAGACAAGTCGGTGGTGGACTCCGTGTTGAGTCTTAGGTGACGTAAGTCTCGGTGTGACGGAGGCAACGGACGCCTGGTGCTGGATTTGTTGCGGACGTGGTCGTTCATGGCGGCAGCTTCGTCGAAAGGCGTGACGGTCTCGTAAGCGTCGGTGGCCACCCCGCTGTACTCGTACTCCAAGAGTGTCAACAATGTTAGAGCCAAGTGTTTAGACTACACATAACTGAACAAAACACAACACAACACAACACTAGAAGTAAGAATAATTTTTGTTATTCATGAAGTAGAAAAACTCTCATTTGGTAAACAATATTCATTCAAGTTAAATATATTCAATAAAGACAATGAAAAGGTCAAACATCCGGTAATATTTTGTTAAAGGCTCAGTAACGCCGTTTATTTTTCATAATCACTATTTTTTTATTCATTCAAGTTTTTCTGAGCATAAAATTAAGTGTTTAACTCCAGCAACACAGCAAACTTTCTGCCTGAGTCACCAAGACGCTTCACGCTGCTGTTTACAATAACTATGTCATAATTATATACTTTCGCCAGAGCCAAGTTAACCATAACACCTGAATAACAACAACAACAAATAGTTGTATTTGTACTTGATGAATTTGTCACTTGGTTGCAGCTTCAAAATACATTTTTGTGGATATAAGCAACTTTATGAGTTAGTTTAGCACAAACTTATCAGATGTTTTGGTGGAGTGACCAGCCTGAGGGGGGGGAGTAAGCCTGGAGGTTACCAGCAGGATGTTCTCTCGAGTATTACTCACAGAACCTCACTAGAGGAGAAGTGTGTTTGTAGGTCGCTGATATTTAGCCTGCATTGACATAAAACTGAGATACTCACCAGAGCTGTGGAATAGGCCTGCAGGTCGCCACGGTCGGATTAACGTGCAGGACGGTGGAACATCCTGACGGAGTAGCCGAGTAGGTCTCGTGAGGTACCGAGAGCTTGACATCCTCCCGGCAGCAGCTGCAGCACTCCCCGGTGTACCAGGTGCTGGTGTCTGAGTCCCGGCAGGTGGAGGAGTTAGTGTGGGGGGCGGGGCTGGTGTAAACTCCCTGTAGTGTGTTGGCGGACCACACTGGCGGGGCCTCCTATGCTCCTGACTGGCCGCCCAGTAGAGACTCTGTCTGTTGGTGGACACAAGTGATGGTGAAGCTGATAGTGATAGGGAGGTTCTGGACCAACTGTTAATATCAGTACACTACCAGCTGCTGCTGCTGCTCATAAAGGTCACAGATGGTGATGATATGTTATGTAAAGTTTCCTAGTGGTGAGCAGAGGACCCATACTAGACACGGTTGACCTTTAACCTATTCTCTGACAATAAATTCTGAGCACTGGCCAACACAAATGATCTCTGACCTACACAGTTAACCTCTGACGTACATGGTTGACCTGTGTATACAGTAGGTGGTGAGGCTGACCTACCTGTGTGATGTGGTTAGTGCGCTGGGAGGTAGAGGCCGTAGAGGGTGAGGGAGAGGGACAGAGGTACCCCTGAGGCCACGGTTCTGTAACATCACAAGGAGCATTAAACCTTACAATAGGACGACTTAACCCTTAATTATGCAGTATATATAGTCAATGTTCCAGATAAAAAAACTGATACCCAGACTGACCAAGCCTCTTCTTAGTGAGATCATCCTTGACCTGTGAGCTGACCTCCACCTCAGCATACTCTGCAGCAGAAGATGCATTGGAGGTCAACAGTTTCCTCTCTGACTTGTCTGAGTTGAGATCGTGTGAGGGCACGGGGGTCCACAGCCCCCCAACCTCCACCCAGGGCCCCCCTACGCTGCACATTTTCCCCTTGCTTAACTCTGATAATTATGATAAACAATCAAAGTAAACAAGGCAATCACTATGAAAATCTATCATATTTACTCCAGTTATCTTTATTTATCTTATTTTATTACTCCATCTACACAGTGTGGAATGTAAACACTTGATAAATACCTGACAAAATCAAGAATATTAAAATATATATCATCTGTCACTATTCTCGGGTAAATTGGGTAGAAAAAAATGCAGTTTGAGTCAAATAATTCAAGGTCCTCCACGATATTAATATAATATTAGTGTTTACCCTCAAGGTTATCAGATTTACATTTTCTATTAAATACCGAGACGCAGTGTTAATGGGGGACTTAGTAAACACGTCACCTTGTATAAAGTTTAGTTCTTGTATTTTTTGTTAATAATACACACACACACACACACACATACATACACCCATAATACACATACACACCTGAGGGTAAAGTGCTGTGTATACTTCTAGCACACCATCTGGCAGTAACTGTGCACCCCACCAGCATCACCACCATGGCTACAGCGCCTCCAGCCAGCACCAGGAACCACGCCGACCTCACCACGCCCACCCCCATGCCTGGGTCCTGGGGAGATGACATGGACGGGGATGTTCAGTGTTATCCAGGAGTAAAGAAGAAGAAGAAGAAGAAGAAGAAGAAGAAGAAGAAGAAGAAGAAGAAGAAGAAGAAGAAGAAAAAGAGACAAATAGACGAACAAAAACAAAATATTCTAAAAAATGCGAAGAAGAATAAGAAAAAAACGAAGAAAGAGGAGAGAAAATACGGCGGTAATTACCATATGACCTTAACTAACCTTGAAGTGGGTCATGAGGAGGTTAAGCCTGGCGGGCGGGGAGGGAGGTCCTGAACCCTTCACTGTGGAGGCCGTGAACATGACCTCCACCCTAGACGAGGTTATATTGGGCAGTGTGAGGGTAGACAGGTCACCCAACACTGTCACGTTATGGATCAGGCCTGTGTCAGTCTCCCTCACTGTCACCTGGGGGGGCTCAAGAAAGCCACGGATAAAAAAATGAAGAAAAAATCCGAACATTTATCAAGAATAATGAAACAAAAAATAGTGTATTGCATAGATTAATTATTCAAGTCTTATCAAAGCCAGCGACTGATGATTGCTCCAAGTGGCATTGTATGGGACTCACCAAATAGTTGAGGATGAGCCCGTTCGCCAAGTGTAGTGGTAGTGGACGCCAGTGTAGTGTAAGGGCGTACAATCCTGCCCCCACCCGCGCCGCCCACCACCGTGACAATACCGCCCACCCTGAAGGTACTGTGGCGAGAGAGGTAAATAATAATAATAATAATAATAATAATAATAATAATAATAATAATAATAATAATAATAATAATAATAATAATAATATTATTATTATTATTATTATTATTATTATTATTATGTTAAGGAGCTGTAGGTAAAACTTGGTGGTTGTTAAAAGTTGTTTCTCCCGAGCCAGAGCCGTCTCCATCTCCGGAAACTGATGTATGGATGACTTTCGAAAGATGTTCGTCTTTTACGCCACTCCACTATTTCTTGATGAAATATATCTACAAAATATTTTATTTAAAAAATATTTTTAATTTTATCCAAATTTTTCTTGTCGTTAATTTTTTGCAATAAACGAACATATTTAATATACTTTTTGTTGTTTTAATCTTAAGAGGTATACCGCCCACAGAGCACCTCAGTGTCGGACAAAACCATAACATAGAGGAGTCACGTGTCGTGTGTCGCCCTTTAAAGTTTAAACTACTTGCAATAATTGTTTGTGCGACTTTCTAAGTGAAATAATTTTCAAGAATAATGATTCTAGAAAACGATGTGATAAATTGATAACATGAAAACAATCGAAAAACTATTAGATAAGCAAAATAAAAAGTGCTGGTGACACGATTGACAACTACTGAAAATTGAAGTGAAATTGAAGTAAGCGCTAACAAATTTATCTGCTTTGTAGTGATAATTTACTCAATTGATAATATTTAATATGTGTTAAATGTAATATTGACAGAATTTTTATGCAATGACTGTAGTGTTAATTAATTTCAACGTGATAACTGCGGTGGTTCAAGACAGGTCGTGACGTTACCAGCAGACAGCCTGAGTGAGTACTGATCTATATTAACCAAATGTTGTGGTACACTTATGCATCATGTTTTAGTACTATTTAACTGATAAATGTATGTCTTCCAGTAAGGTGAGTGCATAAATTATTGAGTGTTTCGTGTTATTGTGTTGGTTTGTCAGTATTATGTCCCGTATTGGAAGACACACTTGGGTAGGGTGTTGTATAGTGTGGCTGAACTGAACAACCCAGCTGCTCCTCTGCCGGTACCTCGGTTTCCTCTTGTGCTAACACAGGACACTTAAAGTTCATAACAGAGTAACAAATAACGGACCAATAACTCGATCGGCTAGTTGATAAATAGTGAAAAGATAAAAAAAAAATTTTGAGCAAGGATTCCTTTTATTAAGTGTCGGATTTCTTGTGGTATCTATAATTGTTTTAATATTTTTACGTCCTGGGAAATGTCATCATAATCATCACCACCATTAAATCATTAATTAATATTATGGAAAAATTGGTGTTTCGGTTATCCGGCGAATTTTAAGATTTCAAGTTGTGGAATCAGTAGTTTAGACAATTATAAGACACCTTTCTTCTATAGCGTTTCCGTCGGAAATTTATATTTTTCGAGTATTTTAATCGATAAAATTACCAACAATATTACTTGTTTAAAGTGGGCAGGGCTTTGGAGCACAGCGAAAATGTGGAGTTAAATACTACAAATAACACTAAACAAATCTTTGAAAACCAGACCTAACGTTTCCTAACCTATAAAAACTTAACCTTACTCATATTTTCGGTTTTTAGTAGGTAATGGTGTTGTTTTCGGTTTTTAGTATGTGTTGGTGCTGTTTTCGGTGTTCATTTACAAGATTTTCACAAGACCATAGATATCAGAAAAAAAAATAAGGCATTACAAACTTTACCTGAAATTAAATATCTCACTGCACATTAAAAAAACGAATTTAATACGTTTAAGAGTAAATATTTTGTGAGGTAGAACAAGTGGTCTTCTCATTCCTCAGTGTAATGTCGAGAAAATCACAGTAATAACGCGTAATTATGTGTAATGTGACTGGTTCCGGGAGCGTGTGTAATATTTAGTGTGGAATTTTGTTGCAAGAGTAAAGTGTAGAAATAATTGTTTTTGATGAGGGTTGTGGTTACAGACAGACAGACAGACAGAAGGAGACAGACGATGAGACAGTCAAACATTATATGTCTTTATTGTGTGTTTCATATTCAAATTATCTCTAACGTTTTGTTTATACAGTCTCTAAAAAAAAAGACAGAAATTGACAGACAGTACATGGGGAAAAACAAACAAACAGCCAAAACTTCATTTAGAAACCGAATTTAATATATGACGAGTTTGGAAAAGGCATGAAATATATTAATAAGAGTTCTCGTATGGTCTCTGCGGCTCACAATCACTGGAATTATCTCACCAGTACCAGGAATGTCCCTAAATTACAAGGCAACCAATCAAAACTCACAAACACTAATAAACATCGAATGAGAAGTCACAGTCTTACCGTCCTGAGGCGTGGTGAAGGCGTGGAGGTTGGAGGGGACGCCTAGGACCCCCTTATAGTGGGGTAAGAGAAGGAACCAGTAGGAGGTGTAGGGCTGGAGGTCGCGCAGGTGGTAGGTGAGTCTGCCCGGGGCGGGAGAGTGACCCAACACTCTTAGCTGGTTGCACCGAGGCGAGGCGGGGGGCGAAGTAGGGTGAGGAGGGGGTGGTTGTGAGGTCGGGCTAGTGACCCACACCAGGCCGTCGTCTGTAGCGTTGTTGAGTTGCCTCATGCTGTCAGACCCTGGTTAAGTTGGAGAATATTTCTTAACATATGCTAATATAGATAATAACAGTAATAATAAAAGTAAGTATGTTACGAGAGTTTTTAATGACAACTTTGAGTCATTCAACCAATCATTTAAACTCTTAACTCAGACTAAGTCAAGGAAACACCGCCATTTACCACCACGTACTCCAACTATATAATTTAAAATCATTCAATGACTCTTGGTGTTTAAATTCATCATTTTATTTGCACTCCATCTATGAAATGCATTAAATTTATCAGTATTCATCATTTATCTTAATTCGTCATTCTTAATCTGACCTTCGTGTTTGTTACATTTAGTTTTATTTAGATTCCTTCATCCAAACGCTAAATATATTGTCGGTCAATAAAGCTCATTGAACTAAATCCCTTTGTTTAAACCAGACCATTTAAATAAGAATATAATTTTTCAATACATATACATATATTACTCTTGTGCGTCTATAGATACCTTATATCTTTTTATATGGCTGTACAAAAACGTGAAAAATAGTATTGGGTGTTATATGATTACATAAGTTTCCCCGTTTAGTTTTCTTTGAAAGAATTGTTAAAGAAAATATAGTTTTAAATGCGTAACTACTGTAGTACGGCACGTTGTTATGTCACACTGTACTGTCCTTGTGAATGTTCCCCGACTTTCAACAATAGTGATGTATTTAATAAAGACTTCTACAATATTATTCCGTGTTAGCTCATCTTAACATTCCATAGTTCAAATCTTCAAGTCTTCACCTACAACACGGAAATAGTTATCTGAATCTACAGGTATTCGGTTGAAATGTAGGTATAAATGAAACACCCAATATAAAAGTTGCTGTAAAACTCCAGAAGAATGACCCGCGCTACACAGAGGTAATAAAATGGAATCAGATTGTGTCTTTAAGGGCAGATGAATCACCCAGTTCGTAGAGTGAACTTTATATATTATAAGTTATATACAGTATTTCGTATTGATGTTGATAGTGTATACAGAAGTGTAAAATTGCATAGGTGAGGCTCCATATTGTCGCTCACTGTATATTGACTTTAATGAACAGAGTTATTATTATTATTATTATTATTGTAGCTGTTGTTTAAAAAAATGACTAATGGGCTGACTTACCTCCGGGTTGCATTAGTGACGTCATTTCTCCGTGTATCTCCGCATCCGTATGTTGGCGATGGCTTCGGCTTCCTTCTCGGTAGTCGGTGAGGGCGACAGTGGTGGTGTCTTGGTGTGGCAGAGACGTTCGGCGTTTGTGGTGGTACTTGTAGTGATGGTGGAGGGAGATGTCGTGCGTCTGCAGCTGCTGGTGTATCCTTGGGGCGACGAAGCCACTGCCACGTTCACATCCCAGGATGAATATACCTTCCAAGTGTGTTGGTCGACCCGTCTGTAATAATAATAATAATAATAATAATAATAATAATAATAATAATAATAATAATAATAATAAAAGAAAAGAATAAGAACAAGATAATCGGCAAGGACAAAAATAGGTGTGCTTATTGTTATTGTCGTTATTACAGTATTGTCAAATCTACTACTATTATTATTATTATTATTATTATTATTATTATTATTATTATTATTATTATTATTATTATTATTATTATTATTATTATTATTATTATTATTATTATGATGATTATTATTATACCATGTTAAATAATATTTATCCTAAATCCGTTATCTAATTGTACAAATACATTTAATTTAATGGTGCAAACTCCCATGTGTATAAATGATGTATGTGTGTATTGGACATTATTGATGTGTACATGACTTATGGTGTCGTTCATAACCTGTACTGTGTACATGAGTGTTGTGTGTAAATAAACAATCTGAATCTGTGTACATATGGCCCGGAGTTCACTAGTGTGTGTGTGTGTGTGTGTGTGTGTGTTTGTGTGTGTGTGTGTGTGTGTGTGTGTGTGAACACTCACCATCCTCCAGGTAACAGTAGCCGTGGTGGGGGTAGTGGAGGCAGGATACCCTTGTTCCAGTGTGGGCGTGAGGAGTGACGCCCGTGCCTCCACCTCATCCACGCCCACCATACCCACGGCGACTGTCCCCCGTGCCACACCCCCGCCCATCACCCTCACCGGCATCGCTAACCCGCCCACCTGAAAGACAAATATAAAACTAATAAAGTGATTCTCCTTTTACCTCACCATTCTAAAGACAGGTATATATAGAAATGTACTTTTTCTGTGTTTTTATATATTTTTTTTATTTATTTTTTTTATTTTAGGATATAATTTGACTATTTTAGATACATGTAGGATTGTAGGCATAAGAACACATAAGGGGGACTTACGGTAATATACAAACTAAGGCTTCACATGCACAAAGACTCTCAACCTTAACGACAGGCGTCCATTTAATACAAGTTATAGGAGAGAAAAATAAACGTGATGGAATATAATTTTTTGAAAGTTTCCCGCACGTAACTTTTGGGATCACACATATCTCATATCATTTCACCTCAAGACTAACTACCCTGTCGTTAACTTTTACCTAACCTAACCTAACCTAACCTAACCTAACCAAACCAAACCAAACCAAACTTAACCAAACCTAACCTAACCAAACCAAACCTAACCTAACCAAACCAAACCAAACCAAACCAAACTTAACCAAACCTAACCAAACCAAACCAAACTTAACCAAACCTAACCAAACCAAACCTAACCAAACCTAACCTAACCTAACCAAACCAAACCAAACCTAACCTAACCTAACCAAACCAAACCTAACCTAACCTAACCCAACCCTCTCAAAGCATCAGATGAGAGAGAGAGGGTTGTCAGTGGTATACCTCATTGGCAGCCATACACGCCCACAGCCCCTCATGATGGGTGGACACGTGGAGGCTGTTCTCGTGATCCACCGTGACTTTCCTTCTTCCACCTCCTCCTCTTCCATCTCCTCCTCTTCCATCTCCTCCTCTTCCATCTCCTCCTCTTCCTTCTTCAACTCCTCCTCCACCATCTGAATCTTCGTGTATCACCAGCTGGGGCGCTTCCTTCTCCAGCTGGTAACTCTCAACACCACCTGTGGATGAGGGAGATGTGTGTGGGGTGCTGGTGTGTGGGGTGCTCGGTGTGTGGGGGGTGCTGGTGTGTGGGGGGTGTTGGTGTGTGGGGTGCTGGTGTGTAAGTGTGGTGGTGTGTGGGGGGGTGCTGGTGTGTGGGGTGTTGTGTGTGAGGTGCTGGTGTGTGGGGGTGCTGGTGTGGGGGGTGCTGGTGTGTGGGGGGTGTGTGGTGTGTGGGGGGTGTTGGTGTGTGGGGGGTGCTGGTGTGTGGGGGGTGCTGGTGTGTGGGGGTGCTGGTGTGTGGGGGTGCTGGTGTGTGGGGGTGCTGGTGTGTAAGGGGGTGCTGGTGTGGGGGTGTTGGTGTAGGGGTGCTGGTGTGTAAGTGCTGGTGTGTAAAGGGGTGTTGTGTGTAGGGGGGTGCTGAGGTGTGTGGGGGGTGCTGGTGTGTAGGGGTGTTGTGTGTAGGGGGTGCTGGTGTGTAGGGGGTGTTGTGTGTGGGGTGGTGTGTAGGGGGTGTTGTGTGTAGGGGTGTTGTGTGTAGGGGTGTTGTGTGTGTAGGGGTGTTGTTGTGTGTAGGGGGTGCTGGTGTGTAGGGGTGCTGGTGTGTAGGGGTGTTGGTGTGTAGGGGTGCTGGTGTGTAAAAGTGTGGTGTGTAGGGGTGCGTGGTGTGTAGGGGGTGCTGGTGTGGGGTGTGGTGTGTGGGGTGTTGTGTGGGGGTGCTGGTGTGTAGGGGTGTGTGTGGGGGTGCTGGTGTGTGGGGGGTGCTGGTGTGTAGGGGGTGCTGGTGTGTAGGGGGTGCTGGTGTGTAGGGGTGCTGGTGTGTGGGGGGTGCTGGTGTGTAGGGGTGCTGGTGTGTGGGGGGTGCTGGTGTGTGGGGGGTGCTGGTGTGTAGGGGTGTTGTGTGTGTGGGGGGTGTTGTGTGTAGGAGGTGCTGGTGTGGGGGTGCTGGTGTGTAGGGGGTGCTGGTGTGTAGGGGTGTTGTGTGTAGGGGGTGCTGGTGTGTAGGGGTGCTGGTGTGTAGGGGGGTGCTGGTGTGTAGGGGGTGCTGGTGTGTGGGGTGTTGTGTGTAGGGGTGTTGTGTGTAGGGGGGTGTTGTGTGTGGGGGGTGTTGTGTGTGGGGGGTGCTGGTGTGTAGGGGTGTTGTGTGTAAGGGGTGTTGTGTGTAGGGGTGTGTGTATGAGGGTGTTGGTGTGTAGGGGTGTTGGGGTGTTGTGTATAAGGGTGCTGGTGTGTAGGGGTGTTGTGTGTAAGGGGTGTTGTGTGTGGGGTGTTGTGTGTAGGGGTGTTGTGTGTGGGGGGTGTTGTGTGTGAGGGAGTGCTGGTGTGTAGAGGGGTGTTGTGTGGGGAGTGTTGGTGTGGGGGTGCTGGTGTGGGGGGTGTTGTGTGTAGGGGTGCTGTGGTGTGTAGGGGGGTGCTGGGTGTGTGGGGGTGCTGGTGTGTGTAGGGGGTGCTGGTGTGGGGGGGGTGCTGGTGTGTGGGGGGTGTTGGTGTGTGAGGGGGTGCTGGTGTGTGGGGGGTGCTGGTGTGTGGGGGGTGCTGGTGTGGGGGGTGCTGGTGTGTGGGGGGTGCTGGTGTGTGGGGGGTGCTGGTGTGTAGGGGGTGTTGTGTGTGGGGGGTGCTGGTGTGTGGGGGGTGTTGTGTGTGGGGGTGCTGGTGTGTGGGGGGTGCTGGTGTGTAGGGGGGTGCTGGTGTGTAGGGGGTGCTGGTGTGGGGGTGATGGTGTGTAGGGGGGTGCTGGTGTGGGGGTGGTGGTGTGTGGGGGGGTGCTGGTGTGTGGGGGTGTTGTGTGTAGGGGGTGTTGTGTGTAGGAGGGTGCTGGTGTGTGGGGGTGCTGGTGTGTGGGGTGCTGGTGTGGGGGGGTGTTGTGTGTAGGGGTGCTGGTGTGTGGGGGTGCTGGTGTGTAGGGGGGTGCTGGTGTGTGGGGGTGCTGGTGTGTGGGGGTGTTGTGTGTGGGGGTGTTGTGTGTAGGGGGTGTTGTGTGTAGGGGTGTTGTGTGTGGGGTGCTGGTGTGTGGGGGTGTTGTTGTGTGTAGGGGTGTTGTGTGTAGGGGTGTTGTGTGGGGGTGTTGGTGTGTAGGGGTGTTGTGTGTGGGGTGTTGTGTAGGGGTGTTGTGTGTAGGGGGTGCTGGTGTGTGGGGGGTGTTGTGTGTAGGTGTGTGTGTAGGGGGTGTTGTGTGTAGGGGTGCTGGTGTGTAGGGGTGTTGTGTTTAGGGGTGTTGTGTGTAGGGGGGTGTTGTAGGGGTGTTGTGTGTAGGGGTGTTGTGTGTAGAGTGTTGTGTGTAGGGGTGCTAGTGTGTAGGGGTGTTGTGTGTGGGGGTGTTGTGTGTAGGGTGTTAGTGTGTAAGGGGGTGTTGTGTGTAGGGGTGTTGTGTGTAGGGGTGTTGTGTGGAGGGGTGTTGTGTGTAGGGGGGTGTTGTGTGTGTAGGGGTGTTGTGTAGGGGTGTTGGTGTGTAGGGGTGTTGTGTGGGGGTGTTGTGTGTGGGGTGTTGTGTGTGGGGTGTTGTGTGTAGGGGTGTTGTGTGGGGGTGTTGTGTGTAGGGGTGTTGTGTGTAGGGTGCTGGTGGAAGGTGTTGTGTGTAGGGGTGTTGTGTGTAGGGTGTTGGTGTGTAAGAGGGTGTTGTGTGTAGGGGTGTTGTGTGTAGGGGTGTGTGTGGGGGGGGTGCTGGTGTGTAGGGGTGTTGTTGTGTGTAGGGGGTGTTGTGTGTGGGGGTGTTGGTGTGTGAAGTGTTGTGTGTAGGGGGTGTTGTGTGTGGGGGGGTGCTGGTGTGTAGGGGGTGTTGTGTGTAGGGGGTGTTGTGTGTAGGGGGGTGCTGGTGTGTAGGGGTGTTGTGTGTGGGGGTGTTGGTGTGTGGGGGTGTTGTGTGTGGGGGTGCTGGTGTGGGGGTGTTGTGTGTGGGTGCTGGTGTGTAGGGGTGTTGTGTGTAGGGGTGTTGGTGTGTAGGGGTGTTGTGTGTGGGAAAGTGCTGGTGTGTGGGGGTGCTGGTGTGTGGGGGTGTTGTGTGTAAGGGAGTGTTGTGTGTGGGGTGTTGTGTGTAGGGGGTGCTGGTGTGTGTAGGGGTGCTGGTGTGTAGGGGGGTGCTGGTGTGGGGTGTTGTGTGTGGGGGTGTTGTGTGTAGGGGGTGTTGTGTGTAGGGGTGCTGGTGTGTGGAGTGTGTGTGTGTGTGTGTGTGTGTGTGTGTGTGTGTGTGTGTGTGTGTGTGTGAACAGGAAGAAAAATATATAATATACAATAAAAGAAACATAAAAGTAGATAAAATAACACACATCCACCACCCACCTCCACCCATCCACACCCACCTCCCACCCACCCACCTCCACCATCACACCCACCACCCCACACCACCCACCTCCACACCCACACCACCCACCTCCACCCACCCATCCCCACCCACACCCACCTCCCACACCCACACCCACATCCCCCCACACCCATCCCCACACCCACACACCCACCTCCACACATCCCCACACACACACCCACACCACCTCCACACCCACACCCACACCCCCCACCCCACCTCCACCCCACCCCTCACCCCACCCCACACACACCCCACACCCCTACCTCCCACACCCCACACACACACACCCCTCACACCCACATCCCACACACACCTCCCACCCCCACACACATCCCACCCCACACCCTCCACACCCCACCCACATCCCACCCCCCCTCCCTCCCCACCCCATCCCCACCCCACATCCCACCCATCCCTCCCCACCCCACCCCACACACATCACACCCACCCACCACCCACCCACACCCACCCATCCACACCCACCCTCCACACCCATCCCCACCTCCCACCCATCCCCACACCCCACACACATCCACCCCACACACACCTCCACCCATCCCACCTCCACGCCCCACACACACACACATCCACACACACACACACACACACATCCCCACACACACACACCCCCACACCCCACACACACACACACATCCCACCCCACACACCCACACACATCCCACACCCCACCCCACACACACACACACACCCCACCCATCCCCCACACCCCACACATCCCACACACACCCCACACCCATCCCCACACACACACACACCCCACACACTCACCACCCAGATGTGTCTCCACCACCCCTCTCGGCTTCCTGCGGTCGTGGTTCTCCTTTGACCCAGAAGACAATTGGCGTGGGCGTGGCGGTGACAGGACAGCTGATCTTACGCACGTGGGTGGGCGATGACAGCAATACTGCGGCCGTACGCCCTCAACCCTCGGGCGTTCTGTAGTGGGGGAGGGAGTTTTTAGAAGATGTTGCTGTTTTGTTAAGGTGTTATGTAGTTAGCGTCAGAAGTTCAAAATGTAAAGTAATTAGCTATCGAAGTTCAAAATGTAAAGTAATTAATGTTCAGATGTTATAAGGCTTTAACTCTTCATGAAGAAATTCTTATAAACGACAGTAAAATTTTCAGCATTTAACTTTCGAAAGTTCAGAAGTTTCAGCAGTTACTTTCAGAAGTTCCGAAGTTCCAGCAGTCCACGTTCAGAAGTTCCAGCAATTCACGTTCAGGTTCCAGTAATCCACGTTCAGAAACCCAGCAATCCACGTTCAGAATTTCCAGTAATCCACGTTCAGAAGTTCAGAAGTTCCAGCAATCCACGTTCAGAAGTTCAGAAGTTCCAGCAATCCACGTTCAGAAGTTCAGAAGTTCCAGCAATCCACGTTCAGAAGTTCCAGTAATTCACGTTCAGAAGTTCGGAAGTTCAGAAGTTCAGAAGCTCCAGCAATCCACGTTCAGAAGTTCAGAAGTTCCACAACCACGTTCCAGATAATCACTTAACATCCCATTAATAATAATGACGAGCCTTTTACCCAGACAAGTTATTAATGTAGAACCCAATTGGTGACTCAATATCGTATGCTAATGTAATCCTGTTAAAATGATCGCAAATGAATGTTACTCTTCGTTCATTGTCTGAAAATGGTCCGGTGAGACGATTAATTGCGTTCAGCTCATGTGTGTTCAAACGTTTATGCCA